GCGAATTTTTAACGGAGAAAGCGCAAGTGGCGGCAAACATGCCATTGAGACCCATGTTTACTAAGGCGGCAAAACACAGTATTTAGGGCGAAATTTATACAATTTTGACCATTGATACAATCGGGTATCTGCTATAGATGGAGTAAATTAGAAGTTACCATCTGATTTAGTATGGGCGAGACAAATTTTTTAAATGAGCTCGCAACTGACTGAGCAAATCAAATTTGAGACCCACAGTCACTCAGCTGGTAAAAATCAAAATCCTTGGCGATGTTTTTGAACCCATCAGCATCTTAAGAGTCAAGTGTTGGCTAACAATGCTGAAAATTTCAAGCTACTACCAGTTCTAGTTTGGATGATATGAATTTTTAAGGCGAAAATCGCCGTGAGAGAAAAACATTCGTTTGACACCGATATTTACTAAGCTGGCAAAAATCAAAACTCTAGGCGATTTTGCTGTAACTCTCAGCATCTTTACCGTCAAGGCCTTTGTATACATGCTAAGAATTGCAAGTCGCTACTTGCGCTAGTTTGGAGGAGACGAATTTTTAACCGAAAAAGCACAGTTGGCTAAAACCATACAGTTGAGAGCCATTTTGCTTAAGCTGGTACAAATTAGGATTGCCGACAAATTTCATGAAACTTTCAGCTTGTTTGCAGTGGAATGTCGTCTAAAACTCGAGAAAGTTTCAAGTTGCTACTTGCTTTAGTTTAGAAGATGTCAATTTTTAAATCACAGGGCGCAATTGAAGAAAATTCTTTTTTAGACCAAGAATTTTAAGCTGATGGAGATTTTCAGGAAACTTTCAACATCTTTGGAGCAAAGCGTCTTATAATCATAGCTAAAACTTCAGTTTGCTAATTGCCGTGGCTTGGAAGAAGCACCTTTTTTAAAGGATGAGACGCGCAGTGGGCTGAAAGCATTCGTTCTCAAAGCGATTTTTCGTAAGCTGCCAGAATTCATCCACACCGCAGCAAGCAGCAACTTGCAATTTCCGTTATCTTTAGAACACTTCACTCTAAAGATCCTGGAAGTTTCCACAAAGTCACCCAAAATCCTGATTTTTGCCTGCATAATAAATATAAGTCTAACAGCAGGTGTTTCCGCGCAACTGCGCTCTGACCTTTAAAAATTCGTATTTTCCAAACCAAACCATGAAGCAGCTTAAAATTGCTCTTGTCTTTAGCCAAGCTTCGACTCCATAGATTCTGAAAGTTTTATTAAAATCGCCTTAACCTCGGCCAACTTGGTCAATTTTGGCCAACTAATTAAATACAGCTCTAAAAATGGAAGGTTTAAGTCAACGGCCCGCTATTTTTCAAAAATTAGTAATTCCCATTACAGATAAGGTGGCGCGTTCAAACTTGCACACCCTATAGAAGACACTTAAGTCTCGAAACTATGAAGATTTCATTAAAATCGCGCTAAAATTGGATTTTTACGCAGTCTGAAAACGCAAGTCTAAAAATGGAAGTTTTAACTCAATTGTTCGCTCCTATTCAAAAATTCGTAACTCCGATTCCAGATCAGGTGGCAAGTTGAAACTTGCACACCCTCTAGAAGACACTTGGCTCTCGAAACGGTAAAAGTTTTATTCGAATAGCTCTAAAACCTGATTTTTGCGCGCTCTTCAAATGCAGCTCTAAAAATAGAAGGTTTAAGTCAACGGCCTGCTATTATTCAAAAATTAGTAATTCCCATTCCAGATGAGGTGGCGCGTTGAAACTCGCACACCCTATAGAAGACACCTAAGTCTCGAAACTATGAAGACTTTATTCAAATCGCGGAAAAAATTGGATTTTTACGCGTTCTGAAAACGCAAGTCTGAAAATGGAAGTTTTAACTCAATTGTTTGCTCGTATTCAAAAATTCGTAATTCCGATTCCAGACCAGGTGGCAAGTTGAAATTTGCACACCCTATAAAAGACACTTGGCTCTCGAAACCGTAAAAGTTTCATTTGAATAGCTCTAAAACCTGATTTTTGCGCGCTCTTCAAGTGCAGCTCTAAAAATAGAAGGTTTAAGTCAACGGCCTGCTATTATTCAAAAATCAGTAATTCCCATTCCAGATAAGGTGGCGCGTTCAAACTTGCACACCCTATAGAAGACACCTAAGTCTCGAAACTATGAAGACTTTATTCAAATCGCGCAAAAATTGGATTTTTAGGCGATCTGAAAACGCAAGTCTAAAAATGGAAGTTTTAACTCAATTGTTCGCTCCTATTCAAAAATTCGTAATTCCGATTCCAGACCAGGTGGCAAGTTGAAACTTGCAGACCCTATAGAAGACAGTTGACTCCTCGAAACAGTAAAAGTTTCATTTGAATCGATCTAAAACCTGATTTTTGCGCGCTCTTCAAATGCAGCTCTGAAAATAGAAGGTTTAAGTCAACGGCCTGCTATTATTCAAAAATTAGTAATTCCCGTTCCAGATAAGGTGGCGCGTTCAAACTTGCACACCCTATAGAAGACACCTAAGTCTCGAAACTGTGAAGACTTTATTCAAATTGCGCTAAAATTGGATTTTTACGCGGTCTGAAAACGCAAGTCTAAAAATGGAAGTTTTAACT